CCCCAAAACCCCAAAACCCCTTTATTAGATAATTTTAGTAAGAAAATTAGCATTTAGAAAGAATTTATTGTAATTTAATTTATTGCATAAAATTTCATGGAAGATTAGCGAATTAATAATTTAACCAGTGAAGAAAATGAAACTCTTGATTCATCTATATTAGATCAAAACGGACAAGAATTCATTACATATAATTAAGGTAATTATCTTTATAAAATAAACAATATAATAGGAACATTTATAAGAAAAACGAAACTTACAAAATTAATGGCTCTTATATTGATACTAAGTGGAGATCTCGATATTTCATATTATACAATGGCTTATACCTTTAAAAACTCTCCAAATCTAAGTATTTTATCAAAAATATTGTACATTATTTTGTTTAGCTACTGCATTCCTACTTTTGAATGCATTTGGTGGAGTGATATCTTGCCTTCTTTACGTAAGAATTTGTCACATCACTAAATTAGGGTAAATATAGCTAATTTAAACATCTTATTTATATAGATCAATACAAGAGTTTGCATATTACTTTGGAGGTGGATGAGGTGGTATTATATTCTCATGCGTGTGCTTATCTCTTTACTACTCTTTTATGGTAATTACTTATCTAGGTATGTATTGTAATTCAAAAAAAACTGACACTATTTAGATATTCTTAAATTAGCAATTGATTACTTCTTGAATTAATTGGATCCAGCCTTATTTGGAAATGAAATTAAAAGCTATGGAGAGTTGCTAGCTATTTTAATTGGAGGTCTTTTAACTCTCGGAGTATGCTTATTTAAAACATTTGACAAAATAAAAGTATGCCAATAAATATTTTCTCATTCATTTAGTCTTATAGTATATTGGAGTACTTATGTGTTTGCTGAACTTAGGGATATTGATCTCTTTGTTCATAATTTCATTTAATCCATATAAGGAGATAATCAACGAAAAACAGCAAGATAATCTGAGTTAAGATTCTAAGAATGAAAAAAAATTAGAAGCAGCCAGTAATGTTGATGGGTATAACTTCATAAGAGATTTGCCATCCTTTTCTTATTCATTCTTTTTCTAATACTATTTCTTGGTGATATATTAGTATCTAGGAAACTATAAAAGACAAAAAAGTGGCTATTTTCTCTCTGTGATAGCAAACTTGATAATTTTGGCTTTTGTTTTACTTTTTTGCTTTTTCTCTACCAGGGCTAATATAGTTATTTCCTCAACAAAAGCTATTGCAAATCAGCAAGTACCAGGCTTGAATTAAAATGTTATTCAAAGCATATTGTTTACTGCTTCTATTCTATAGATATCTTTTGCATTCTTTTTGGGCAAAGAATTTGTATTGACACTCTATGATGAACTGAAAAATAAAAGCTTAAGCAATAAGATTGAAGATTTGAGGTAAGGATTAAGCTAAAAGAGCTTCTCCAATGAACAATTAAAAATGGTTAGAAAATAAATATACTAATTGGTCAGAATGCCCTATTCTAAGATGAATAATACGCAATTTTACTCTATAACTTGTAGTTACTATTTTATATCAGTTATGATTGCAGGACTGTTTGGATCTAGTTCTAAGGATAAAAATAAAGGCGAGGCCTTGTCTAGCATAGTGAATATCACTTCAAGTATTGTATAGCCAACTTTAATGTATGCTTTACCTGGCCTGTTTTACTATAAAGCTTGCAAATAAGAAGGATTTTAGTAAGATTATCTTCCTAATTTTATTATAGGTCAAGATTAAGATATTTTGCTCTTGCATTTTCAATTATTGGAGTATTAGCATCTGCGATATTTACAACTATTGGCATATATTGGTAAATTCAATGAATAGATTAATAATATTTTCAAAGATATATTCTCCCTTTCATCTAATAATGCTCAAAGCGGGGTTTTGGGGTTTTGGGGTTTTGGGG